GAGCACTGGGCAGGGAAGGTTGGGTCAGATTGGTCAGTCACCACCATCCCCATAGGACAGAAGTGTATGTCACCTTTCTCCAGACAAACCTTCAAGGTAAGAAACTAAACAAAATGACTCAAGCTATGCAGTAGATCTTTTTAACAGGGGCTCAATCAACCTGATGTTAATTTGAACATTTGTACTGCATAGTTCTGATTGGTTGCCACTGAACTTGCTTGAGTACAAGTAATTATATCAGCTGTCCCATTTTTAGCATAGGGAAATATGATCACCCTAGCTGAGTTACTACAGAGAATTCTTTCCCAGGTGCTTGGCTGGTGGGTTTTGCCAAAACAGTCATGGTCTGACCTACCCCATATTTGGGTTTGGGAAGGAATTTTCAATGATCAGATTTGCAGAGACCTTGGGGGTTGGGAAAGTAAAGTTGCCTTCTTCTGCAGCAAGGGGAGGCCTGGGTCAAGTGTTAGTTCCAACTAGTGTAAATGGTGGATTCTCAGTAACTTGACACCTTTAAATCATGATTTGAGAACTTCAATTACTCAGTCAGAGACTGTAGGGTCTACTACAGGAGAGGATGGATGAGGCTCTGTGGCTGGCAACGTGCAGGAGGTCAGACCACATAATCATGATGATCCCTTCTGCCTATAAAGTCTGAGTCGACGAGACCTGCCTTTGGGCTTGCTCTTGGATTCCTCACCCCAGCTCTGACTCAGGTCTTCAACACCATTTCTTTGAGTATGCTGGGAGACTCCAACCCAAGCATTGGCCAGGCAGGGCCCTCTCTAGTCCTTCCCACCCCTGCTCTACCCTTCCCTGCCCCCCACTGCATCACTTCCCCAAAGTCGCCTCCCCCAAAGCGACACAACCCAGGGAATCACTGAGAGGCCTGGCATGGGATGGTAGCAAGGATTGGACCCCACACTTACTTTGGTGGCACAAGCCGGAACAATTTAGCAATCTACTGCACTCCACTCCCCTAATCCCACATCACTCCGGCGAGTGGAGGCAGTCGGGGCCAGGTCACTCTACTTCCCACTGCTGCAGTAAAGTGGAGCGACCCTGCTGGGAGATGGCAGTGGAGTGAAGCAGACTGCTGCATGTGTCTCTTTGCCTCCTGTGTCTTCCGCCACTGCAGTGAGTGCACAGGCGCCCAATCCCTGCTACCGCCTCAGGCCCCACTTCCAGGTAATTCCCAGGATCACGCTAGTCCCTGTTGGCTTACCTCTGTAAGGGGGACCATCATGTCCATAGGACAATTGGGGCAGCCACTGTGGGGCCTCCCAAAGCACAGGGCCCAGAGCAGGTGCCCTGAACTGTCCTACAGATGAGACAGCTCTGCTACTGGGACTTGCATGCTTGAACATATTCACTACAGGTTGAACCTCTCTAGTCCGGCACTCTCAGGTCCTGACCACTGTCAAACCAGAGAACTTGCTGAATCACAGGAGGTCAATATATCTAGCAGCATTACCAACACTTCCAAAGTCTCTTAGAAGACATTTAGGGATAAATTAGAGCCAAACAATAGCACAGGACACTGAGAACCAGAACTTGTAGCTGTAAATAAACTTTATGATACAGAGGGAAACTTGGTACACATGGCAAGAGGACATCCAAATAACTGAAATCATGCAGGACCACAGATGTTGCAAAACCTGAGACTGCCGGACTAGAGAGGTTCAACCTGTAACAATCAAGAAATGGAGAACAAGGAAATGGCACAGTTTGCACTAGAGAAGTTAAATTTCATTTAATCAGCTAATTGAGTAATCAATAGAATTTCTATTAAGTACTCAATTAGTCAATAAGGGAGGAGGCGCAACCATCTCCACTGTGTGTGGGGAGGAAGGGGCAGGAGAGTCAGAGGTGCAGTGGTCCAGGACTCAGCACAAGCTAGGGCTTAGCAGTCCTGGCTCGCACCAGGTCTCGGACTGCTGTGCCTCTGCATTTTAAATGTAATAAGAACTGGGCAGCTCTTATTACATTTAAAAAGCCACCCGGTTCTTGCTACATTTAAAATGCAGTTCCACAGCAGTAGTAGGTCCCAGACAGAATGCACACACATGCCACTTGTCCATAGGACAGGTAATCATACATGCTACACTGGTGCAAAATAGTGGATAGCCCCCACTCTGCTGCTGGGCTTCTGCCAGCATTCTCTTTTTATTCCTAGAGCTAATTAGTTTTTGATAGGTTTTTCTTTTAATCAAGTGGGTTTGGTTTTTAGTTTAAACAAGTTCAAAAAATGCCAATAGTCCCCTTCCAACTCCCGCTTTAAATTCCCTTGTGAAACTCCCCTATTAGCTGCTCCTGTTTGCTAGCTCCTCAAGAGGGACGAGGGGAGAAGTCCAGGGGAGAAGGGGTTTGGGTGCAAGAGGCAGTCTGAGACTTTGGGGGGGAATATAGGGGCAGGTAAGGATCTGGGGTGCAGATTCTGGGAGGGAATGTGAGTGCAGGACTGCCATTGCACATTAAATGGATATTTTCTGCGAACTATCCACAATGACTCCAAGATCTCTCTCTTGAGTGGTAACAGCTGATTTAGAGCCCCTCATTGAACCCTGACTATCTTGGCTAGCAGCCACTGATGGACCTATCCTCTATATGAATCAGCAGCCAACACAACTGAAGAAAAATTAAAGGCATGTCAAATGAAATGGGGAAACCTGCTTTAATGTCCTGAAAAGATACCTTAACATCTTCTGCATCCTGGAAGTAATTGCAAAAAGTGTCTCATGTGGCACTTCTTACGGGAAGTATTGGGTTCTTCCCTTTCTGGAAGGACATTTTTCCATTCTGGTAGGGCAGTTTGTATATTCTTACACTAAACTGGTAGTCAATGAGTGCACATAGTTTGACACGTCTCCATTTGATTGTGTGTATACATGCCACACTATATAAAAAGGAGAGAATCAATGAAAGTTCACAAATGAAATTACTTTTTGACTGTGTTTTTATCACAATTGTCTTTACATTGAGGGTGATACAATCAGAGAAGTAATTTGTCAGCAGTGGAACTGGCAGCATTTGAGAAGAGACACATAGTAAGAACACTTAGAGCTAGAAAGAGGAGAGACTATTATGCTTTCACTCACGTGGCCAGCTGTATGATTTATAGGTGCACCAAGATGGGGGATTCTCAAATGACATTGATTTTCCTCACACTCCAAATATTCTGCTTGAGGAAGGATTAGAGATTGATCCTTAACGAGTCCAAGTCCCCAGTGTGAGCTTGTGCCACTTGTAGCTAAACCCAGGTTCCACATTAATCCTATTATAGGTAGCACAGCCTATTAACAACGCCCCATTAAAAGTTCCTGTTTTCATTTCTTTGTAACTTAGCCAACATTAACTGTTTGAGCTGAATTTTTCCTTGCTGGGTGACTGCTTTAAGCTGAACTTCTGGATTCTAGCCAGAATGGCTCAGGCAGTTCCAAGAATGAAACAGGGAAAAATAAAGCATTTTAGCCTTTAAAAAAAATTCTAGCAGCCTTTTCTGTGAATTGCTCTAGTGCTCTCATGCTTTGATGAATAGACTTAAATTGTGGCAGGTGGGTATCTTTTTGCCATCCATGTGAAAATCTGGCCAAGTTTTCAGCCCTGAGAAACTTTAGTTTGCACATGCTTAGTAGACTTCTTAGATTTTAACAAATAAATTCCATGAAGAGTCCATCTACTCTGGCCACGCTCCAGCCTGGGGCTCAGCAAAATTCCCCATACAGTTGCAGTTCTGGGTTGCATGAGCCATACCAACTCTTGGTCCAGGCACCTGAATTGAGCACAGAGACACCCCTACACCACTCACACACGCTGGGCCCAGAAAGTGTGGAGGAGGAAGTTGCCTGAGTGTCATGCAAAGAAGATAAGAACCAGATCTGTGAAGGGGAGAAAAACAGATTGAGACATGAAAAAGCCTGGAGGTGAAAAAGACAAGGGACTGGAGGTGGGGGAAGAGGGAAACAGACTAGGCATTGGGGTGGGAGTCTGGAACTGGCAAGTAGATAAGAAGAAAGAGCCAGCAGTTGGAAAATCCAATTAAACAGAAAATGGAGGAGAAAGATTGAGATTGAGAGCCCCCGGGGAATGTGGATATGGGAGCAACTGGATGTTCAGTTTGGGGAAAGAGGTAGATTGGAGGAGACAGGGGCAGTGGGAAACTTCAGTATGACTGGGCCTGAAAGTGGGGGTGGAAAATCCAAAGGATTAAACTAGGATTTGCCAAACAAGGAGACTGGGACTGTGATGCAAAATCTCAGGCATGGAGTTTAGCAACTGGCTAGGTGAGGAAAATGTGTTTGGAATGAATAGCGAGGGATGGGGAAGAGAAAGGTTATGGATTTGGAGGGAATTGGCAGAAGAGTCTGTGCCCACACAAGTACACTTCCCTCCAGAGTAAGGATGTTCAGAGTTTAATCATTTAACCAGTAAACTAATAATTACCAGTTAGTGATTAAACTCACCCTTTGGGAGCCCACCAGTGACCAAAAGCAAGACCCCACCAGCACCCAGGAGTCTACAGCAGCAGGGACAGCTGCAGCAGTGGGGCTGGTGGCCAGGACCCCACAGCAGGAGGGCCAGCAGCCGAGACTCCACCAGCATCTGGGAGACGGGGGCAGCAGGGTTGACTGTGATGGCAGGACTGGCAGCCAAGATTCTGGGAGGGAAGGCAGAACCCACAGAGGGGGTGGTGACCTTTCCCTCCCTACCACTACACCCCCTAAAATGTTGATCAGTTACACAGTTAATGTTTTTCTATATTTTTACATCCCTACTCTAGAGCCTAGATTGGAACCAACATTCTTGGCTCTCACTGCACCTCACTCTCAGCAAGTATGTACAAAACCATGCGCTGCCCTTGCCCACAGGCATCTGCAACTCCCAGGGTATGTCTAGACTACACTGGTTTTTTTTTTTTAATGCCCTTTTTTCAAAAAACTTCACCTGCGTCCACACTGCAATCAAGTTCTTTTGAAATTAAATCGACACTGGTAAACCTCAGATTAGAAGGAAGAACGCCTTTTTTGAAAGAGCTCTTTTGAAAAAAAGGCATGTGCGGATGCAAAACAGGAACGTTTTTCGAAAGAGGCAATCAGAACAAGCACAGGTGCTCTGGTGGCCATTCTGTGAATACCAATCAGGGCTTTCTTTTGAGAGAGCCTCCATGCGGTCTGGACGCTCTCTTTCGAAAAAGCAGATCCCTTTTTCGATCGGTTTTGAGGTGTGGATGCTCCCTTTCGAAAGAAGCCTGCAGTCAACGCATATCCTGAGCTGCAGAGCTAGCAACTGTGGTGGGGTGAGCATGCAGCGATGCTCTGCCTCCCACCTCCCCCCACATGCTGCAGGGCCCACAACGCCAGCCGTTTCCAGGATCACACCAAACAGGGAGCCTCTCTCAGCTCCACTGCGCACCCAGACGTTGGCTCCAGGAGCCTCCAGCTCAACCCTAGTCCTAATTGCGATTACACATACACAGGCAACCTTCCTTCCTCGACCGCCGAACTTTCCAGGGCTTGATTTTGCAACCCTCCCATTGTTCCTTCCAAGCAGGGCTGGGCGGGTAGTTCCACAGGTCACCTTTTCTTGGGCTTATTCAAGAGCAACCCCGCTCACCGCGCGCTACCCTCTGACAGGCAGCCCGCCAGGGAGCTGACGCCACGTCCTCAACAGCGCGTTGGGGTCCCGACTTGCACGGTCTTTAGGAGACAGCCGCAGCGTGGCAACTTCCTCACTCGCTGCAGCCCCACCTCGTGCAGGTCCAAATTCCAGCGCCCTTCGCCGCCTCTCCCGCCTGTAGCGCCCCGCCCCCAGCGGCCGCAGGTTTCCTTCTGCTGGCCTCTGCCGCGGCCGGAGGGGGGTGTCAGGCTCTGGGCCGTGGCTGGGGCAAGACTGAAGCGCGCAGGAGGCTGCCTCGCCGGAGCACTAGCTGCTGCGGCCCCGCCCCCGCGGCCGGGTGTTTACTCCGGCTTCTCTCGCAGCAGCGGGGCGGGACGGACCCAGCTCTTGCCGGGGAGCCGCGGAGGGACCGCCCGGGAGTCCTGGCTGCGGACAGAGCCCCCCTGCGGAGATGTGAGACCTTCCCTCCCGCCCCATGTGCGTCCCCCGGTCCTGGAGGCGGGCGGGAGCACCCTGGCTTCTCATGCTGCAGCTGCTCCTGCCTTCCCCAGGGGCGCCAGGTAGGCTGCGGCCGCTCTGGCCGGATCCCGGGGCGCGCAGGCTGGGACGCCTCGCTGTGCCCGGCTCCCTCTCTCCAGGGGTGGGGACCAGCTGCCCTAGAACCGGCTTTTTATGTTTTGTCGCGTTGGATCCAGTGGCTGCCAGGCGCGCTGCGGCTGGAGTGGCTCTCCAAAGTCCACGTAATTAGTGAGCCCGCGAGACAGTCCCGATTATTATATTAATTAGAAGTGCGGCCAGCGCAACTCTCCAGTTCCCAGCGCTTGATCCTGGAAATGCTTTCGGGTTGAGCAACTTCGCTCGCAGGAAGGACTTGAGCCAAACGGGACAGCTCCCAAAAGTTAACTTACGCGCAGAGGTGTTCTGAGGAGTAGTCCTGGTGGTCCCAATTCTGCAGCTGGATCTGTGCAGCAGCAGACAAGGTCTGTCCATTTGGATTCAGCCTCAGCCTCTGGGCCTGCATTTGCAAGATGTAGCTTATTTGCTGTAATGGGCATCATTGGATCACCAAATCTCAACATCCCGAACTCTGGGTAATGCTGGGGATTCAACCCGGGAGCCTGAGAGTGTATGGAATGGTGGTTTGGTGCTGCCAATTATACCTATGTGACCTTCCTTTGTGACGTTCATATCCAGGCTTTTATTTCAGACCTTGTCTGACAATAACGAAGGGGGGGGGCAGGTAATAAAAGTGCAGATAGATAACTCATTTAAGCCTTTATTACCTAAAAATAGTATTTGGCATAAAGCATAATTTACTTTTTTAGTTTTACAAAAAATTGAAAGTGCCACTAAATCAACAGATAAAGTGACACTGACAATTTTAAAATCTTATGTAAACCAATTTCCTTATTAGTGATACTCATAACACCATAGACTAAAAATTAAACAAGAAGTCCCGTGGCACCTTAGAGACAAACAGATTTATTAAGGCATAAACTTTACTAGGTAAAACCCATTTTATCAGATGAATTGGAGTGGAAATTACAGAGGTAGGGGTATTGTGTTAGTGAGGCTAATCAAATCGGGATGAAAGTAGTCAGAGCATTTGGTGTGGAGATGTGAATATCAAAAGAGGGGACATTGCCTTTGTAATGTAACCAGTTAAGATCTTTATTAAATCCTAAATTGGTTGTATTGAATTTGCAAATGAATTCCTATTTGGCTGTCTCTCTTTGTCATTAGGTTTTGAAATTCTTTTGTAGAAGGATGACTACTTTCAAATCCATTACTGAACGTCCAGGGAGGTTAATGTGTTCTCCTACAGGTTTATGTGTTATACCATTCATGATGTCTGATTTGCGTCCATGTTTCCTTTGGCATAGAGGCTAAGTGTAAATATTTATATAAGATAACATCCCCAGATCATTTCTTTGAGCTCTTTGTTTACCTTTATCATACCTTTTGTAGAAGACAATAAGATACTTGTCTCTTTTCTCACTGTCAGGTTCTCCAACCTAATTTCATATGCTACAGGGGATAGTAGCATTTTAAAACAACTGTTTTCATTGGACTTTTACAGTTTACTTGTTTCAGGTTTGATAAAATGTATGTTTAGTAAACATACACTTTTTGAGTCAAAATTAAGTTCATAGAACTCTTTTGAAATATAATTTAGATTGGATGGTGCCCAAAGTAGTCAGGTACTTACCAATGACAGAGGAAGACAGCCCCAAAGAGCATTCAGACTGAATGTGCAAGAGAGATATGGAGGGAAGGGAGAGAACATAAACACAAAGGCTACGTCTACACTGGCCCCTTTTCCGGAAGGGGCATGTAAATTTCACTAGTCGTCGTAGGGAAATCCGCGGGGGATTTAAATATCCCCCGCGGCATTTAAATAAAAATGTCCGCCGCTTTTTTCCGGCTTTTAAAAAAGCCGGAAAAGAGCGTCTACACTGGCCCCGATCCTCCGGAAAAAGTGCCCTTTGAAGTAGGAATAAGAGTGTACTTTGAAGTAGGAATAAGACCCTCCGGAAAAGGGCGCTTTTTCCGGAGGATCGGGGCCAGTCTAGACGCTCTTTTCCGGCTTTTTTAAAAGCCGGAAAAAAGCGGCGGACATTTTTATTTAAATGCCGCGGGGGATATTTAAATCCCCCGCGGATTTCCCTACGACGACTAGTGAAATTTACATGCCCCTTCCGGAAAAGGGGCCAGTGTAGACGTAGCCAAACTGGTCAGGTCAGTGGTAGCTACGTATTGAATTAGTTGCCTGGTTTGTTTAAATAAAAACTATTCCCAATCTCTTCTTCCTGAAACCTTTCCTGGTTCTTGACTCACCTCTCAACTACAAATCACTATTGAGTTGTTATAGAAAACAAACAGTAAACCCCTGGCTAATCTATGCCAGTCTCGCTCAGATACTCCCTCAACATAGCAAACCCAGAAGGGTCAGGTGGATTTGGACTTGGGCAACCAGTCTGAGCTGCCATCAGCGTAGCAATGTCCATACTATTTTTAGTGTCCTAGCTCAAGCAGGACTAATGTGAGTGTCTGGCCACAATGGGAATCCCAGCTGTGAAGTACTGTGCAGACGTTCCCTTATGCCATAGCCTGTAGTGTATGCCCAGTCCTTATTCAGCCTGAGGTCAGAGGGGCCTGTGTAAGGGAAGCAGGATCGGGCCCTTACACTGCATCGTGCTCAGGGTCTAAGAGAGCCTGATTCTTGTCTCACCCTGGTATACATCAGAAGTAATTCCAGTGAAATCAGTGAGGTAAATGCAGTGAGAGGAAAATTGGGCTAATGTTACATCAATCTTTTTGCACTTCCAAGATAAAGTATTTTTGTGAATTCTAGATGCTAGAATAGGAAGTGACCAGTGATCCCTGTAAACTGAGCACTTGGGCGGTTACCCAGGAGAGATTTAGGTGCTGGCCAGATGTTTAGTACAGCATCCAGAGCCAGCAGCATGTGTTTCTAATGGTGGTGCACATCTGCACTTGCCTTGGTGCACACAACATATTTTATTCCGCACATAGGTGGACAAAATTAGAGGGAACATTGGAAACCTAGTTCTTCTTGCTTCAGTTAATTCTTATCAGTCTCCTCAATGCTCCTACAGATGCTCCAAGGTATTTAGACAACTAATTCTCACTGATTTCCTTGGAAGTTATGCCTAAGGAAGTTATCCTTTGAGGATATGCCTAAACCCATAAAGGCTTGCGTCTACTCCCATGCCAATCCATTGCCAAACTTCTGTTAGTAGTGTGTTTATCTTGGATGCTTTTGAATACCTGTAGTGATAGTTTTAGAGGGGTAGCTGAATTAGTCTGTAACTTTAAGGTGCTACTAGACTTCGTTGTTTTTTAAATTGGCTTTTTTTAGCGAGTGTTTATCTGTTTTCACAATCTATTCTGTCCTGCCATCTATAGTTTTGAAATTCTCTGTTAATAGGAATTCACAGTGTGTTCACTGTCTTCGACATAGTTCATTTTCTTTTAGACAATTAATTGTCTGTACTTCATCAACTTTAATCCATTAATCCTGACATTTCAGTAAATGAAATGCAGGGTCCTCACCAATTTAAATGCATAGGCTCTATTTATCTTCTAGAGATAAACAGAGAGCCCTGGTTTGATTTGTCTCTTCTTAATTGTGGCCTTAATTACCAGGGGTTGTTTTGAGGGGGTTATGGCAGCAGGGCTAATTTCCAGTTATTCATGAGATTAGGGGAGTGATGCTGTCAATCTGAATCAATCAAAAATCCCTAGTTTTCTGGCGGGTTGTGAATTCACACCAGAAATATTGCTCCTGGTCAAAACTAGGCCAAATATCCTGGAACAGTTCTTTTATAAAGAGGGCATAGAATTGCTTTTTGGTTGATAGATTTTTTTTCTTTTTATTGTTTGTTTTTATTGAGTAAGGTTTTTTTTAAAAAGTGGAAAGAGTTTTGTGAGTTGTGAAGAATGTCTCCTGTTTCCCTCATCAGCAGTACAGGACATGAGAACAGCCACTGGCTGAGAACTTGTTGTCCCAAAGTCTTACTCTTATTTACTTTCTGCATTCCCTCAAATATCCCATGTTTAGTCAATCACATGAAGGCATAACAGAGGAGTTGTGTATTTTGTTGTGGGGCGTAGCTCCATACTCTGTCTTCTCCTGTGCTCTTGCAGCACAAGACAACTGAAAAGCTATTTTAATTGGCTTCTCTCAACATTATACTTCTGTAACGGAATCCCCATATGGTGCAGAGCTAGATGAACCCTCCTTCTAACTCTCAGGGGTTGTCTCCACTATGCCTAGGATCCGCCATTAATTTATTGTGTCTCCTTAGATGCGATAATCCAATCTCCAAGTGCTCTTCTGTTGACGCCGGTACTCCACCAGGACGAAAAAGGCGTCAACAGGAGAGTAACCCCCTCTGACCTTACTGTGCACAAGATACCACAGTAAGTACGTCAACTCCAGCTATGCAATTTGGGTAGCTGAAGTGACGTTGATTAGTTCGACAGCAGAAGTTAGTGTAGACTAGCCCACTGCATAGGCGTTGTGGCCAGAGCATGTTTCTTGCTATAGAGAGCCTCAGCTGCCAGATCTGGACTAATAGGCATAATACATACCTAAAGCTACTTGAATTGTCCTGAAGGCCTACTCTGGAACTGGAACAGGCCAGGATTGTTGTAAAAGGCATAAAGGTACTTGAAAAAACAACTAAGTTACACGCACTCAATTCTGGCATTGTTCAAGAGCTGTCCTATAATCCCCTATTTTGGATTTTCTGTTGTTTGGCAATCTTTTGTACAACAGTGGGGCAGGCACATTCAATCTTAATCTGGATTTTAACATTCACATTCACTGATAACTCCCCTCCCCCAAATATTAGGTTTTGTTGGTTGGTTGGTTGGTTTGTTTTAGTGCATGGTTCATATAGTAGTGGATTGTGCTGTAGTATTTAAATGTCTCTGAAATGTTAGGCGTTCTAAAGTCTCATTATGTAATATTCTGGCCACGATCTGACCACTTGTGTGTTAAGGAGAGAAATCCCATGTACAGTACATCTTA